AAATCCTTGCCAAATTTTTTGTGAACATGACAATTTAAGAAATAAAGGAAATAAATATCAACACATACAGAACCCGCAAACTAGAAATGTGTTGTTGGAACTTTTCTTTCATTTTCCCCCCACGAATATACTCTTTGATTTTGAATTTGAAGTACATATGAAAGAAAATGTTTCTTGGGCCCAGAATGATAGCGTAGTGGTTAAAGTCCTCACCTTGCACGAGCTAGGATCCCATATGGTTGCCAGTTCTAATCCTGGCGGCCCTGCTTCTCATCCAGCTCCCTGCCTGTGGCCTGGAAAAGCAGTCGAGGCTGGCCCAAGGCCTTGGGATCCTGTACCTGCGTGGGAGACCCAGAAGAGCTCCAGGCTCCAGGCTTCTGATTGGTTCAGTGCCAGCAATTGAGTTCACTTGGGGAGTGAACCATCAGACGGAAGATCTTCCTCTCTGTTTCTCTTCCTCTCTGTATATCCGCCTTCCCAATAAAAATAAATAAATCTTTTTTAAAAAGGAAAATGTTTCTCATTTTTTCATCAAATATCACATCTCTTGTAAGAAACTCGAATCCATGTACTTCAATGATGAGAATACTTGTATGCACCTGTATGTGATGAATGCACTAATTATCTCCAACAATGTGAGTCAAAAAACCACAGCAACCGTGGTCTCAATGGCACATGAGCAGTCTCATGGCTGCTGCCAAGCTCATTGCTGGAGAGGAATGCCATGACTGAATGTCAGTACTGAATTGAACTGACTCATGCAAATGGTATGTGCATGCAAATGTGTGTGTACATATAATTATGTTTGTGGAATAATGGTAGTCAAGAACATTCTTAGTAACCATAGCATAGGACAGCATTCAAGGTTACTGGCCACAGCGGAGAGCAGAGAGCAGATACTCAAAAAAGGAGGTTCCATGAGGCAGGCCTTGTGGAACAGCAGTTTAACCCGCTGCGTGCACCTCCGGTGTCCCACATGGGTGTCAGTTCAAGTCCTGGGCGCCTCACTTCCAATCTTCCAATCTAGCTCTCTGCAAATATTGTGCCTAGAAAAGCAGCAGAAGATGGCCCAAGGGTTGGGCATCCTTGGGCACCTGGATGAAATTTCTGGCTGCTGGTTGCAGTCCACAAGCCAGCTCTGTCATCTTGGCCATTTTGGGGGGATGATGTACTAGGTAGATCTCTCCTCATGACTACCTCCCTCTCTGCAACTCTGATTTTTCAAATAAATAAATAAATACCTTTAAAACTGGGTCTAGTGAACAGAGAAGCCTGCTGGATCCTGAAAGAAATGCCTTGGGTTTCCAATTATGAGTGGACATAGCACATCCTTGATTCTCAATTACAGAAGCCCTGCAAGAAAATTCATGTTTGATTAGTATGGAGGCACATCTAATGGATTTACCTATCATAGGGATGATTGCAAATACTCAAAGTCTGCTAAAGCCATTTAAGCTTCAGGCTTTCCCTAACTTTGAAAGGGATTACAGTTTCTTCACTGCAGAGGCTCCTGTGACTCAGGACTCTTCCTGGAAAATATTTCCCCTTACAGGAAAGATGCCACACTTTGCTCAAAGTAGGAATCAGCTGCAAGTTTTGTACATATTAGTATGGGAAGGAAACACATGAAGCTACTCAAAACTTCTACATGTGTGAAGCCAATGACTGAACTTGGTCTTCCCTTCCCTCAAATTCTGGAATTCAACTGTTTCCTTCATTAAAGAATGCAAACCTTTCTGCAGTGGTTATTCCAAACTATGACCAGAAGATGGCAGAAAATACACACAACCTCTGTAAAGCCCTCTGAAGAAAAAGCTGCTCAGCCATATGCCCATTTATCAAAACCTCACGTCATTTATTTAAGAGTTCATGTGTGTGAGAGAGAGAAATTTCTACCTTCTTAATATCCTAAGCAACACTTGTTACTTTCCTTTTGGTATTATTTATTCCTTATGTCAAGAGATTTGTTTATTTAAAAGATTTACAGAGAGAAGGAGTGGCACCAAAAGATCTTCCATCCACTGCTCTAATCTCCAAATGGCCACAGTGCCCAGAGCTGACCTGATCCAAAGCCAGGGGCCAAGAGCTTCTTCCAGGTCTCCCATGTGAATACAGCATCCTAGGGACTTGGGCTATCTTCCACGGCATTTCCAGGCATAAACAAAGAACTGGAATGGAAGTGGAACAAGCCAGGACAAGAACCGGTGCCCACAGAGGGTGCCAGTGCTACAGAGGATTAACTACCATGCCAGGGCTCCAGCCACTTGATTCCTTCTAAGAGGCATAAGGAGACAGTTTATTGTTTTATTTTGTTGATGATGGTAGTATTGAATATTATTCATGCAATTGTTATTCACTTGTGGGGTTTGTTTTTTTTTTTTTTTTGGCCAATTATCTGTTCAGTTGCTGTTTTCAATTTGCTTTTTTTTTCAATTGGATTGGTTGTTTTGTTGTTAGGTTTTTATGTTCTTTATATAATCTTCTGATTAGTGCTTTTTCAAATTAAGTAGCTTCAAATGTGTTCTGACTTTCAATTTATTATACTTGTGCCCTACTTCCAATTTCACTATAATTCCATTTGTCTAGCTTTGCATTTGTTGCCTGAAGTTTAAAGCCCTTTTGCAAAATGATGGGCCCAGTGCAATGGCTCAATTGGCTAGTCCTCCCCTTATAAGTACCATGATTACATATGAGCACCCAGCTGCTCCACTTCATATCTCACTTCATGCTTCCTGGCTCTAGATCATTTCAGCTCCAGCCATTGCAGCTATTTGGGGAGTGAACCGATGGATGGAAGATGTCTGTGTTTCCTCTCTGTAATTCTGCCTATCCAATAAAAGTAAACAAAGCTTGGGGGATAAAAAACGACCTTGTCCAAAATGTATTGGGCTTTCTTTCTCTCTCCTGCACACACACACACACACACACACACACACACACACACACACACACACACACACATTAAGATAGATATATACATAGATAGATAGATAGATAGATAGATAGATAGATAGATAGATAATAGGTATTTTCTGTAATGCTTCCTCAAAAAAAAAGTTTTTGCAGTATCAGCTCTCCCATTTTTATTTTGAGTCAATTTTTGTTTATTTGAGAGCTCATTTTATACATGAAAATTGTATATTCATTGTATATGTCAGAATTTTGTGTATGTGATAATTTTCATCTTCTTATATATCAAGTTTGGCCTCATTATTTGTTGAAAGGGTATGTTCTTATCATCTTTGTATTAAGAAAAAGCAATTGGTTTTATGTAAGGAAACTAATATTTTCTGTTCTATGCCACTGATACACACACACACACACATATATATATACCACATACATTGTTTGTGTGCTAATTTTTTTCATCTGTGGTTTCTGATTTTTCATTGTAGAAGTATTTCACTTCTTAGCTGCCTTTACTTACGTACATTTTAATTTTTGCAGCTATTATGAATGAGATTGTTTTCTTGATATTCCTTTCACTAGGATCATTTCCAGGAATTGAAATGCTATGGCTTCGTTTGTTCGTTTTTGTGTCTATTTGCATGTTGGATTTGCATTGAATATTTTAACAATGTTAAAGGGTTTTTGTCAGTTTAAGTTTTTATGCATAAAATATGAATATCGTGGCTGCATTCCTTCTACTCTCAGTATTCTGGATATGGCAGTCTCCAGTACACCATCACTATACATTCCCTTAAATGAGCCACAAAACAAAATCAATGAGCATAAAGTTAAAACGACAACAAAATGACAACAGCAACAACAACAAAAATACAGCACCACGGAGTCGAAAAAGCATGCCACTGAATACCAATGCATGGGTGATGAAAAGAAAACCTCTTAAGTAAAATCATTTTACCTTTTGAGTGAAATGATGCCACTGTGAGATCCATGAGCCAGCAATGAATTTGAAAAAAGAAGAGTCACCATTCGGAATAAATAAAAATTAAATTTAAAAAAAATCAAAACACACAGGATGCAGCAAAAATAGTACGGAAAGGGTTAGTGAACTTAAAATGTGCATGATGGCTTTCTTATATTAGAAAGAACAGATGCTCAGTGAGAATTTCAATCTTAATATTTTTAGGTACTACAAATGTGTTCCCTGAAGTGACTTCACAATTTTACTTTACTACCAAAAATGTATGTTTTCAAATGTTTCTAAGTCCTTGTCAAAAATATTCTTGTCAAATCCATATGCCAGCTATAGATACACTTGCTTTTTCAAAAATAAAATAATTCATTTTAAATTCCTGTAGATAAGTTAATCTTCATGGAAACGATACCCCTTTTCAATGCAGTCTCTATGTTAGGGAGTAAATAAAGAGGTGCAGAACAAAAGGTCAGGGGTTTTTCATCACCCTCATTTTCCACCCGTTTTACTGATAACTCACTGCTATGATCTCTATGGGATTCTCCTGCAGAAAGCACAAACATTTTTTATGGTAGTCTGACAGTTAAAGAAATGGGCAATGAAAATATGGCTCTCTTCACTAAAAAATATATATTCTAAAGTAAAAAGCTAAAACTGGGATATGCCCCTTATCAGGGGGAAAGCCCCTCAGAACCAGACTGCACTGCCTTGAATACGCCAAGTTAGACCCATTATGTCAGGTTCCTTCTTTTACTGAGCACCGCAGAGCCTTTCACATATCAATATAATTACTACATTATTATTATGGATGGCAGTATGCCAGTTGGTGTTTTGCTTGTAGGTTACTATTTGGGTTTGTTTGCCTTTCAGGAGTAATTGCCAGAATTCTTAAAAGAAAAGAATAAGCAGAGGACTAAGATTTCAAAGTCTTTTCCTCATCAGTTTCTAATGCCAGGACCTAACTCCACTACTTCCCATTCACTCACAGTTTGAATCCACACCCAGCAACACGGTCCAAATCCAGATTGGCAGGACCGTTGACCAATCACAGAGCTAGATTTCATTCTGCTGCGTAACAATGGCTGCCACGTTAGAGACTTCCCGCCCAGAAGCAACAAGGCAAAGCAAAAGGCATTAAGAATCAGCACCTACACAGCTTCCCGGCAGCAGTATTGGGTCTTCACCATCGAGATCCGGGAGTCATCTTAACGCCTCTGTGTAATCAAGATGAATCTTTCTAAGAAGCTGACTTTGGACAAAGTTGATGTTAAAGGAAAGCGGGTCATCATGAGAGTAGACTACAATGTGCCCATGAAGAACAAACAGATTACAAGCAACCAGAGAATCAAGGCTTCCATCCCCAGCATCAAATACTGCCTGGATAACGGAGCCAAGGCAGTAATCCTTATGAGTCACCTGGGCCGGCCTGATGGCATCCCAATGCCTGAAAAATATTCTTTAGAACCAGTTGCTAATGAGCTCAAATCCTTGCTGGGCAAGGATGTTATGTTCCTGAAGGACTGTGTAGGCTCTGAAGTGGAGAAAGCCTGCGCCAACCCAGCTCCCGGGTCAGTCATCCTCCTGGAGAACCTGCGCTTTCACGTGGAGGAAGAAGGGAAGGGCCAAGATGCCTCTGGGAAGAAGCTGAAAGCTGAAGCGCATGAAATAGAAGCCTTTCGAGCATCGCTCTCCAAGCTGGGTGATGTTTATGTCAACGATGCTTTTGGCACTGCGCATCGGGCTCACAGTTCCATGGTGGGAGTAAACCTACCCCAAAAGGCGTCTGGGTTTCTGATGAAGAAAGAGCTAGAGTATTTTGCTAAAGCCTTGGAAAATCCAGAGAGACCTTTTCTGGCTATACTTGGTGGAGCTAAAGTGGCAGATAAGATACAACTCATCAAAAACATGCTAGACAAGGTCAACGAAATGATTATTGGTGGCGGAATGGCTTTCACCTTCCTGAAGGTACTCCACAACATGGAAATTGGCGCTTCTTTGTTTGATGAAGAGGGATCCAAGATTGTCAATGATATCATGGCCAAAGCAGACAAAAATGGTGTAAAGATTACATTTCCCGTCGACTTTGTCACTGCTGACAAGTTTGATGAGAAAGCTAATGTGGGAAAAGCTACTGTGCAATCTGGTATACCTTCTGGTTGGATGGCTTTGGACTGTGGTCCAGAGAGCAATAAGAAATTTGCACAAATTGTAGCACAAGCAAAGTTAATTGTTTGGAATGGACCAGTAGGGGTATTTGAGTGGGACTCCTTTGCTAATGGAACCAAAGCTCTCATGGATGAAATTGTCAAAGCCACTTCCAAGGGCTGCATTACTGTTATAGGAGGTGGAGATACGGCTACTTGCTGTGCCAAATGGAACACTGAAGATAAAGTCAGCCATGTGAGTACTGGAGGTGGTGCCAGTCTGGAGCTTCTGGAAGGTAAAATCCTTCCTGGAGTGGAGGCCCTCACCAACTTATAGTTAACACAATATCCCTACCTCTTGTTTCCTGTCTTTAGCCTGGACATTAACTTACTGCCTTTACAGCTCAACTTTTGTTAAGATCTATCCATGTGGTTGGCCATCAGGAATTCTTTACGTCACACAACGATGCATTTTGCTTCTGTTATACACTCCTCTACTCTCTTCAAAATCTCATGGAACTTCACCATTGTGCTCTGTAGGGAGGATGTATTCTTAAGTTGCCTATTAAAAACAGTTAACTGAGCTAACAATGTCTCTTTCAGTTTATTCCAGCTTGTTGCTTATCTGTTTGAAACATGGAAATAAGACAAAAGCCAAGTTGTCAGGTTGAGACAGGTTACAGACCGTTAAGAAATAACAGTAAATGCAGGAAAATAGCTACATATACAAACACATGGGCAACAATGAAGCTCTGCTAGGATGTAATCTATTACTAATGAAAAAACAGATATCAAATGATATATATTAAACCAAAGAAATGTTATAAAGGAAAAATACTAAGCCCAAAGAAGGAATTATGTCTGTACTGTAGACACAAATGTGAGACCACAAATATCCCATGCTTCCTACTATATCCATGAATACCCAATGGTAAGAAATAAGTAGGCTAACTGAAATAAAAATCCCACCATAAAATTTTAAGTCATGCTGGATAAGAACTTCAGGATCTCGGTGACCTGGGAGTGAAAATACATTTTTGGTTAAATTTTTTTTCTATGGGAGCAATATGTTTATTATTTGCATTTTTTTTGGTCCCTCTTTTGCCAAATTTCTGTTTCCATAACTTACATGGAATCTTTTGAAACAGATGGAGAGATGGGTCACAGTGGGTCACTTGGCAGGCTTCCTAAGCTGCTCTTTGTTAGTAAAGTTTTCAGAAACCTCAGATGCCTTCATGTATCATCCAACAAAAAAACCTATGAAAGCTAAGTTTCTCAAGAACCACATTTGCCATTCTATTGAACTGCATATAAAAGAATCTTATCCAAAAATCTCCTTGATATGTACTTCATAACCTCCTGGCTCCTGCTTTTGCTTAATTGGCTTCTTTCCTGGGCATTTTCTTTTAACCTTTTCAGGATAAGTGGCACAGTGTCATCTGTAAAAGGAAGTAAGTAGCAACTATAATCTTTGCTAAGATTTCTCATTCTTTTGAGTGAGTGGTCCACATGGGAGATCTTTAAGAATGTGCTAAGTTGTTTGTAGTACCAATTTTTTTTTTCAATTCTGAAAGAAGTCACTTTCAACGTTTGTTAGCCGATTGTGCAATGCCTCCCAGAAAAACAAAACACTATCATGCACATGTTTGAGTGCAACTGCTCAGCTTTGTGGCAATGCTCATTTTTGTTGTAGCATTTCATGTAAACAGAATATCACAGCCTAAATATGGTGCTGTCCTATATCCTTCAAAGCACTTGCCTTGCAGCTTTAGTTTCCATAGGAATATAGCCTGTCAACAATACCACAGGTGACTATTTTTCTAAATGCTTTACTAAATGTTTTTCTAACCTTCCAGGCTTTCATATTTCTCCCATCAGAGCCCTAATTTGATGGTGCATTTTCGGGACATTTTAAGGGAGCCCCGACTACAAGAAGCAGTTTCTAATAGTAATTAGTTTACGGACTTTACAGATCTCCTTTTGCTGTTCTTCCCCACAAGGAATTATCTGGCCCTTAAAAAAAAAAAAATCTGAATCTTAAGGTTGGGAAACTTTGGGCTAAACTGAACCACAACAATAAAGACTTAAGTATTCATCTCCATCAAGAGCAAAACTCCCTTCTCAGGTAACATTCCAAGAGGATGCAGTTATGTAAGCATCTCTTAGGGTCATCTAAGGACGCACTGTTGTAAAGTGGTTCTTTCAGCTTCTGTACTTGGCATCTGTCTCTAGAGGCAGAAGACTAATTCACACTCGATCAATTTCCAGCTCACTATATAGGGAAAGAAGAATCCTGGTGGGCATTCTATCTGCAATAAGGATCACATGAGAGGTCACACCCTTTCAATTTTACTTGCATTTCCTGGGCCTGAACTTAGTAATACCATCACAATTCACTGTTAGGAAATCCTGACAATGTATCACTGACTGACATATTACTGACTGGTATGAGCTAAAAACATTAAAGGATAAATAATAAGGGCCCAGCGCAGTAGCCTAGTGGCTAAAGACATCTCCTTGACTACACCAGAATCTCATATGGATGATGGTTTTAATCCGAGCAGCCTTACTTCCCATCCATCTCCCTGCTTGTGGAAAAGCAGTTGAGGACAGCCCAAAGCCTTGCCCTGCATCTATGTGGGAGACCCAGTAAAAGCTCCTGGCTCCTGGCTCCTGGCTTCGGATTGACTCAGCTCTGGCTCTTGCAGCAGCTTGGGGAGTGAATCAATGGATGGAAGATCTTCCTTTCTGAATCTCTCCTCCCCTCTGCATATCTGACTTCCCAAAGAAGATAAATAAATCTTTAAAAATAGAAAGGATAAATAATAAAAGGTGGCCCTAAGACATCAAAACAAAGAGCCAATAAAAATTTCAAACATATTAGAAGAAGTATGCCATTGTAGATGATTTATCCTGAAAGAAGTTTAGAAAAGGAAAAAACTTGATGAAATAAAGTATAGTAAGAAGCAAAGTGATGATATGAGCTGGGCCATGGACTGGTCATAAAAAAGGGCATTCTACCATTGCTGTTACATACTACCAAATGGCATTATGCAGAGGAAATCAAATAAAGGTTCAGAGAAAAGATCTAGTGTCTCAGATTAGAATATGGGAGAGTGAGGAGAATGTAAAGCAGACCCAGAATAGAAGAAGATGTCCAGAAGTATATATGCATGCACGTACCTCAGCACAAGGCTATCACTAAAATGCATATATGTGTATGTATGCATATGTGTACATATTTACAGGTAATATTTCATGCAGTTTTAATGGTTTGAAATTACATATTGTAATTGCATGAATTTAAAATCATTAGCTTTTTATGTTAAGTTTTCCTTTAAAAATTATAACTGAGACATTACAAGAGTGTTATTATTTTGAGGTTTTGGATGGATCTCACAGTGTGGGATTATTTGTTTTGTCCACGGTTGCAATTTGAGTTACTTCATTCATGTCTTCAATGGTGCATAGCATTAATTTTCTATTTCGATAGATGTATCTGTAATGAGACATCTGATTTCAAACAGCACTATCTAGTAAAGATTTTATTAAGCGCACTTTAAAAAGATTTTTAAAGAAGCACAAATCATCACCTTGCGTGCACTGGGATCACATACAGGCACCCGCTTGTGTCCCAACTGTTCCACTTCCTGTCCAGCTCCCCCATTGTGGCCTGGGAAAGCTAGAGAGAATGGTCCAAAGCTTTGGGCTCCTGCACCCTCGTGGGAGACCTGGAAGAAACTCCTGGCTCCTGGCTTTGGATCAGGTCAGCTCTGACTGTTGTGGCCACTTTTGGAATGAATCAGCAGATAAAAGATCATTCTGTCTCTCATTCTTTCTCTGTAAATCTGTCTTTCCAATGAAAATAAATACATAGTTTTTAGAAAGATAAAAATGGATGCTATTATTCATGGCTTTATATTTGTCTTTACTTTTAGATATTTCAAATCTTAACTTTTGGAAATTTCATCAATAAGTAAAATAGTTTATGTTCCCTAAGTAATGTGCAATAATGAAAGGTATGGAAACATAAGGATATCTGATTAAAAATATGTTAAATATTTTTAAAATCATGAAAAGATAAATAACTTAGAAAACAGATTAATGGATAGCTAGCTAGCTAGATAGATAGAATGTTTTAATTTGCACTTGTTACTTCAGAGCTCAGCAGACCCATTTAGGGTCCATTTCTTTTTCTATGACCTGGAAACTTTTCTCCAGAGGGTAAGTAGGCTTACTGCAGATGGATTTTTTTTCCTCTCTCAAGTACTTTTCTCTAGTTTTACCTAGATTTCCAGTTCTTTCCTTTTTTCCCAGAAAAGACCTCTCCTTTTCCTCCTATTGTAATTTAATCAGAAGACTCAAAATATTCTCTTTCAATTAGTAAGCTAATATTCAGTTTTAATGACAGCTGGGTGTTGTTATATTATTTTAGTTTTAACTTTATTGTATTTTCTTAAATCATTTTGAATATTATCATTTTTCATTGAGTTAGAGAATGTTGTTTTTATGTGTCTCTGTGTGTTGCTATTCTTTAGAGCAGTTTTAGGTATACAATGAATCAAGCAGAAAGTACAAGTTCTATTTATTCCCACCACACCACACCCCTACATAAAGAAGCTCCCGACTTGTGTATTTAGATGATGACACTGACAGTGGTTATTTATAAAGCTGAATTGGCATTTATCATATTCGTTATTGCTTTCTATTATCTTGGTTATTCCATTTTTGAATGTTCCTTCTTTATAATTTTGTGCTTTTTAAATGAGGATTTTCTATGATTCCACATCCTCCTTTATTGATATATCAATTATTTTCTTTTTAATGTTTTTGTGGTTTGCCATCAAGAATTTTGTGCATGCTTAAAGTTAGTCAAGATTATACTTTAAATAAAAGAACATCCCTAATCCCTCCCTTTATTCTTGATATCATTGGTTTCTTTATTATTATTATTATTATTATTATTATTATTATTATTATTTCTGTTATATGAAGAAACTCCAAAATGGTTGTGGAAAATATAATTACATATAAGGTTATTTTTGATGCATATTGCCCTTAAGATGGAACCAGACACATTTGTCCAAAATTAAAGTGTAAGTGCACCTTGGCTTAGATATACACAAGGTCAGAATCATCAATATCACTGTCTCCCCTCTCTTTTCTCTCACTGGAGGGCCTTCAGGGGAAAATTCACATAGAACTGTCATCTACTCTGATAACAATGCCTTTTGGACACCTTTAAAATAACCTGCCTGAGATTATTTTACAGTTAACTTTTAAAAATAAATGAAATAGTAAATAGTAAATAGTGACAAAGTAATGTGCAATACACAGACCAGGTATGGTCTGACCTTCATTACTAAGTGACACAGTTGTATATGTTTACTTGCATATGCTGTACTTTTTAAAGTTTCTTGAAACTTTATTCAATAAATTATTCCCCAAATGGTTTAAATAGAGTTACATATATTATCTCTAGCTGTATGTGTTTTCATATAAAGATTACATACTAACCATTTCTATTTCCTGTTTCCTCTCTCTTGTTCAACTTTTAACCAAATTGAACAGAGAAACA